ACCAAAGACACATGAGACCATGGGCTGCTGATGCATGGGTGGCTTCCAACTCACCAATACTCTAACCCTTTGTGGCCTAAAGTTTTGTTCTGTAAAATGAATGACTCGTTTTAATAAAAACAACTTTTACACTGTTTATTAAGAATATTTATCATTAGTGGGATGCTTGAGTCCCAACTGGTCATTCTGCACAAGGTGATGGAAGGTTCTACCAGCTGGGCTAGGAAGCCTCAACAGGACACAAGGGGTAAAAAGGAATCTAAAGGCACAAGTGTGCAGCAACTGTGAAGTTACCCAAACAGCTGGCAGGGGAAAGAATCTGATGTTTTGAACTATATATATTTTTTAACCCATAGAAAAGAAATCTATGGTAAAGCCTTTAAAAAAAAACAAAAAACAAAAAACAAACAAACAAAAAAAACAAAAAAACCCAAGAATTCGATAGCTGTCATAATAGAAAAGAAATCTATGGTAAAGCCTTTAAAAAAAAAACAAAAAACCAAGAATTTGATAGCTGTCATAAGGCAGCTATGCCATTCTAAAAGAAAGCTTTCCTAAGGGGGCTACCTTCATGAGCTCAGAAATTGTTGGGATCAACCAAATGCTTTCATGTGAAGAGTACTTTAAGTTTTTCCATTTTCTCTCATTTTTCTTGGAATCTGAAAGAAATGGAATCTGCAGACAAGACTGTAGAAATATCTTCTACATTTGATCTCTCCTAGTAGTGTCCATGGACAAAATCCATTTCACTTCCATGTGCACTCATCTTGGATGCCCAAACCAAAGGGCCAAGTTAGAAAGCAGCATATTTTGCTGTGTGTGTGTTTGTCTTCTGTAATGGACCTCTCTTCTGAAAGTCTTTGAAAACTTTTGAAAATCAATTTAATCATCCAAAACAATAAAGTATAAACAGCATTTTCATGACAGGAAGGATTGTAACTGTCAATACTACAAAATAATGATCCATCGGACTAAAGTTTGGGTGACATTGCCACATAGCTCAAGCCAAGGATGGGAGGGCAGATAGATTTAATGATACAGCAAATAAAGTGACTTTTGACCAAGATCACTTTGATGTGCACTGAATGTTTTCTGGTATTGAGTGTATAAAATGCTAAAGTTATAAGGTTTATTTTGACTATAAAAGAGTTTATAGATTTGAATGTAAGGTCCCTCATGTATATATGCTCCCAAGTTCCAGTTACACAGCCCTAATTTGAAGGAATCCACAAATGGTTAGTCGTGTAGTCAACAGATCTCCTTACCCCTCTCTCTCTTTCCTAACCTTTTCCATTATTTTTATGTGAAAATTATTTCAACCGAAAATCATTATTATGTGCCTTTTAGGAGACGTGGTTGCTCTAGAGGTGGATATGTATAGTTTATAGTCATCCTCCTTAGTAATAAGCTTCGTATGGAACTGAATGAAAAGTTTTGTTTTATTTGCAGGGAGACTATGATTTTATAGTAGCTTTAATACTTTATTCTGGGTATATACTGTATCTAAGAATGTTTAAACATTCTTATAGCCATTTGCAGAATTCTTTGGGACGTTTATAATCTTTGTGGATAATTTCTAGAAGTACCTATATGTGCACTCATGTTTGGTGTTCTAGATATATTAAATTTAAATATTTATGACTTTTCATCCACTGAGGCAGGGAGAATGAACCCATGATACCAAATATAAGCACAGCATTATTTTTTTAAATATCTATTTTAGAGAGGAATTTTGAGGCCACATCGCAGTTTGTATCATGCAACTAATATTTTATTCCCCAGTCTATTATAGGACTATTATGCTAAGCAGGGAAAAGCAGTCATTTGGCCTTTATGTTCCATTGTATGCCTTTTTTCTCTTTCTGAAAAAATGATAAGACTTCAGATTGACAACTCTACTGCCTGAGATGTTCCATTTAATCCATAGTCATTACAGTGTAGTAGACTTTGACTTAAAGAAACATTTATATCTTTCCACTAAGAGTTTCAACATGGGGGGTGTGGGGTAATGGAGCCCTGAAGGAACTGACTGGTCAGAATAATTGGTCTCTGTGTCCATCCGCTCTTTCTTTAGACAGGAGTGGTGTTCCCCTCTGGTGTCTCCTAGTTAGAATGTGATCCCCAGGCCCCATGCGATCTGTGGAAGGAATAAGCTCAAACAGTGCAGCATAATGAGGGCTTTCAATTAGCTATAGTTGCTGTATTTTTTTTTTTTTTTCAAGAAACTCAGTATTGTTCCTTAAGAAAAAGTTAACTAATAAAGCAAATGTAGGATTAAAATGCCAAACATATTTTGATATAGCTGCTTATTAAGTGATAATACAGTTTCTTTCTCTCCCCCCTTGCTTTAAAAAGGCTTTTAAAATTGTGTTTATACATAAGGTCAGTCCAGCACAGATTTCTGAAAATAAGATAGGGGTTTCTAAAAGAAGTTGCTGAAAAGATAAATTTAGATATTCTGGATACTTCCAGAGAAGGAAGACATTTTTTTTCCCCTTATTATTTTTTTGGTTAATTCTCTCGCAGATTTGCAAAATTTAATTCTGTCCATGGTCCCAGATCTCTTGGGGCTACTTTACCTCCTACCTTTTTAGATTTTATTTTTTACTTTGTATAGTTACCTATGGACCAGAGGAAATAACAGTGTTTCTATTCATTTCTTTCAGTGTTTCAAAATCAAGTCATTTATATATTTCATCCATTCTTCATTTCTTGCTGTTATGTAGTTCTATTTTAACTTATATATTTAGTGCTTTAAGTATTTCCTTGTGTTATTCACCATGATAATAAATCCTTACCTAAATAGAAGTGGATTATATTTTACTTTATTTTAAAGAAAAGGGAATTTATCGGAGGGATATCGAGCTTGCAGAGTATATGGGAGAACAAAGTACAGTGCTGATTGAAGGGAGTGAAGGAATGAAGGGGGCTAAGACAGCTGCTGCCACAGCCTGCTTAGGACACCACAGCCAGCTGCTGCCGTGGACATCCCTGTAGCAGCATATTTCAAATGCCATCCTACCAGTTGGTAAGTTGGCATGAATTTTCCATGAAATGCTCTGACTTCCATTTGCGGCATTTCCATTTATGCTTTTAATGATCTTTTCCCTTTCACTTCTATGTTTTCCTCTAAAACTGCCACCCAAATGCTTTATTTACTTAGATGGAGTCAAGATGAATTTCTCATTCTCATTCTACTGGCTTAACAGCAGCAAACATTTATAAGCAGCAGACATTTCTATGGAACAGGGCTTAATTTGAGGCTCAAGCTTTATTTTTCCCCTCAAGAGATCTTTTCTGAATTAGTAACACTACTCTGATTTTGGACACAAAATCAGAGTAGGCGTGGGAGAGCTAAGGACTTTGACAAACAGCTCCCCCTGTTTACTGGATTCTGAGGTGGCTAGCCACTTCTGAAAATCTACTGAGAGGCAGCAGCTGTGTGGGGGTGGGAGTGGGGGTTGCAGCCACACCTACTGGGAACCTTTGGCGCATGCTCATAGCATATGCTCTCTGTGCTTTTAATTCCAAAAGGAGCTTTTCCACCACACCTGAAGATGCGGAGGAAACAAAGATGCAGCAGGACCTGACAAATTAGGGGATAATATTTCTGTTCACACTTTATTCATTGCTTTGTCAGTCCCCCAAATGGAGCATCTTCCGGTTCAGTTTATAAGTAGAAAAACACAACATTCAAAAACAAAAACCCGCTAGTATTTTTGTCCTTTATATCCAGAGCCCGACGAATAGTAAGCATCTTTGCTCTGGGGTTTGAGAAATCCTTCCAGATCCTTCCTACTTCTGAAGCCGCTCCCCCTTAAGTAGCAGTCAGCCCTTTTCTCCCGACTAGGAGCTTTCACTGGCATAGAGGTTAAGTTCCTTCTTTGCCAAAATTGGCATTCGGGAGAACCACAGTGGGGCAGAGTAGCAGGGAGAGGCTACTTAGTCTTCCCACTTGGCACCTGGGCATAGATTGCACGATTTTGTTAATCACTGATTGGTTGTCAGGGTGTGTTCCAGGATAGAGAGGAGATAAGAAGCAACAAGACTTGGGAGGTCATGGAGCATTTAGCCCTGGCCTAGGAGCAGAATGGAGATGTACATGCAGAGCTCCGAACACAAGATGGCCACTGAGGGAGGTGGGAAGAGAAATGCAGAGTGCCTACCACAGATGTGTGCTTCGCAGTTTTACTGACTGTTGCCTCTATACATACTTCGTGGTGGTCCAGCCCATGATGGGCCAGTCACTATTGCCTGGTGTGTACCTGTTGCATTGTGCAGAGAACCTATACAATACTTGCTGGTGCTTCAAGGCTGGCATCATCATTTCATATTTTTACGTATCCTTGAAATCAAAACCAGGGAATTTTTTTTTTTCTTTTTTTACAAAAAGGCATACAATGAGACTAGTAATCTCATTAATATTTTTACAAATTCATCAAGAAAGTTTTCAAAAAAATTATGAAAAGAGCATTTTTTCTCAAGTTGAAAAACACATATACTAATCTACATTTATTTGGGGGGCTTAGCCTCTTTATGAAGTTTCAATATATAGATTTGTTTTGATGGTAAAGCTCTAAAATAATGCCAATGGCCCCCACATCTTTAAATACAGAGGTGCTAAGTTATACCAGATAACACAATATAGAAAGTGCTGATATGAATATGTATTCAGTAATAATACAAGCGTTCTTCCTAAATTACATGTGTATCACTGCCTGATTAGAAAACCCCTTTTTCTTTCTAATCCAGCACAAAACCAAACTGATTCTACAGTCTTTTTAATGGGTAAAAATGACCCAAGATCTTTGTTTTGTATGGAATTTTTTTTTTACACTGACTTCAAAAGTGCTTAACAAAAGGCTTATTCAGGATAATTAAGCATGTACTTTTTTAACTTGCTGGGAGAGACTTGCCCCTCCAGTCTAGCATCCCCAAAAGACTTTTTAGAAACTGGGCATTTTCCCTAAACACAGAAGTTTATATATTAGCCAGTATAGGTCTGTGCTAGTGTTTTCCACACTGTCATCTTTGAAGGGTGATGTCTACAGTAGAAGTCACTTGGTGGGGGACTGTTAATAGCAGCATGGTTTCAATTATGGTTAGCAGATAATTGTGTATATACTTAGATGGGCTTCTTTTTAACACATTCTCTCTGCCTCGCCGCACTTCAGGTTAAGGTATTTTAAAAATTAACTGGGTTTCGGCAAACACCAACTGAAATGTGTATGACAACTGCTTTCCTAAACAAGCGTGATTTGTTCTATGGCTGTTCAAGTTATGAAGTTGTTATTACATTGTAGGTAAACAAAATTTTGCTGTTTTTAAAGGTCACTGTAACTTGAGGTTTAAATATCTGGCACAATTTTATTAGTATTCAATTCTGAAGCTAATAAGATACCATGGTTTTCTGTTACTCTCATTGTAACATCAATAAAGTGACTTTCAATAAAAAAGACCTATGTTATTTTGATGCATAACTCCCTTTATCCTATTTGTCTCCCAGCGGCTGTTTCTCTTTCAGAAGCTTTGTGGAGGTAATGTTAGGGGTTGGTTTCTTTTCCCTTCCATGCTGTCCTAGCAGGGACCATTAGCATGATGAAAAAATACAATGCTTCTTCAGTAAAGCCTGAATGCTCAATTCATTGGATAATTTCCTCAGCTGGGTGACAGGCAGAGGTCCTCTATTTATCCACCTGCTTTGCCTCATCTTTTTGTACTTTCTGCCTATCATAACAAGGATCAATTTCTTGTATCCTAACCTAGAGCCCAGGCTTATTACTTATATAATAAGCTAACCTGTGTAAGACTCTAAAACAGTGGGCCTTGGAGAGCTCAGTTTGAGTTAACTTAAAAACTGTCCCACCTGGCTACTTCGTCTCCCAAGCAGCACTTCAGCCAGTCTTTGCCCTGGCACTTGCAATTCCCTGCCTTCAGCTCAGTCTGGGGAAAAAGTAGTTATATGTGAGAAAAACAATGCATTGACTAAGTGTTTATTATGAGTGCAAAAAAGCTTACAGTGATCACATACAGCTCCATTTCTTGTATTTATAGTATTTTAGGCATATAATAGTTCATTACGATGAACAGTGAAAGAATAACACTCAGCTGAGTAAAAGCAAGTCTAGTTCAGACAGAGGAAGAAGTTTTAGCTCACATGCCATCACGTGGGCTGACAATACCACCTGGAACATCATGCTGATGTGGAGCCTGAACTCCACCTTGGCTCAGTGGGAGTGAGAACTGTGATTACATAAGACCGCTGCATATCTATGCCAGTCACCCGCAGGGAAGCACCAGGCCTCTCCCACGGAAGTGCTTGAAAAGGGTTCTAAGTACTTCATAACTGGTGAATCTGTGGAAGCATGAGACTAAAGCAGACATCTCCAAAATTAAATTAAACCTTGAGTTGAGGTGATTTGAGGAACTTAATCCCCCAAATGACTGAAGTATTCAGGTTTGAGCTCAGCTTTACCTGCTCCAACTATATGCTTTAGGAAAAAACAGACCAAGAAACAGTTTTAAAGAAGGGGGGTGAGTCTGCACTGTAAGAAACACAGAACCCAATATAAACAGAAATAAGGCAACACAAGATTCACTTGTAATGAAGACTTTGGCTGTAACTGAAGAAAGGGGATGGATACGTCAAATGTGTCAAGGGGAAGGAAACTTTCTAACTGCAGTGACATACTGTCTAGGCTCCATGCTTTCGGAAAGAAAGTGAAAGTAGACGTAGAGGAGATAAGGAGACTTGCTATAAGGTATCAATAATTAAAACTGAATTAATTATTTCCAGAGACATGGTTTTGTCATACTTTAGCACTTAACCGAAAGCAAATTCAGAACCATGGCTGGTGTAGCACACCGTGGGACTCATCAAAGAATGATGGTTCAATTATGGCCCATAACCTCGGGTCAGCAAGGGCCCTCTTCCTTACCACATTACAGTGATCTAAGAAATAATCCTTTCCTTAAACTATGACTTCCTAAGAGGACCCTGGTGAGTTTGAAGAAACAGCAGACATTGTGACTCTGAGGGTGAGTTCTCTGCTTCCTGGTCCTCTAAGCCCTCTTTGCCCCTTATCTGGACAGCTCAGGCTCAAGCTGAGCTTTGTGGTCTCACAGATAATATATATGGAATGAAACCTAGACCCACCACGTAATATAAAGCAGGCTTGCCTCACATTCTGATATGTTGCCCAGGTATGACTTCTTGACATAAATACATACGTTAGGGTTGAATAAATATTTATGAAATGAATATATATTAGCAATATTTGAAAAAAATCATTAGTAAAATGAGACTAAAGATGCTTAGAAATGTTTTATTTTCCTTGGTTGCCAACCAATTGATCATCAGAATGGTAACTCTCACATTGTGCCTTAAAATTAGACAGGTGTTCTGCTGGCGGGGAAAAAACAGGCTAATTTCATTATTTTATCTGTTAAGCTCTCTTGCAAAAAAGCGCAAACCAGGCCAGCTTTAAACTTGAGAAACAGAAACATTATTGGTACCATTAAACCAACACACTTTTTCATGTTCAGATCTACCTTAGGAGGTAAAATTATCTCCTTTTTTAAAGACAGAGAAACTGAGGCTCTGAGATTATCTAAAATGATCAAACCACATATTTAGTAAGAGGCACAGCCAGCATGAGAATCCAAATCTTACTTGAAAGCACATGGTTTAAAAATTTTTTTTAAAAAAGACTTCCATTATAAATGTAATAGTTGCTTATCAGAGAACGTGTGGAAAAATAGTAGGAAGGAAGAAAATAAACTCATGATCCTGACTTCCAGTGGCAGTCACACAGACATTTTGGTATTTTTTTTCCTTTTGCTGTATATATTTTTAAATGTAAGTGTGAATACATGGCATATCCAAATGGAAATATCAATATTTAAAAAAATTAACATCTGATTTTAAAAGGAAAGCACACATTGTAGAAAACTTGGAAAATACTGAAATGTATAAAGGAAACGAAAATCTCCTAGAACCCTATTAGCCAAAAATAACCAGTTTATATTTTCATATATTCCCATAGTCTTTTTCTATCAATTTTCTTTTATACATAGTTAAGCTCATAATGTACACGCTTTTTAAGCATTGTTAACAAAGGTTTACATGGATGATGACAAAGATCTTGGTGACAGTGTTTACCACTCAAATTATTCAATAGGTTTCCAAGAGGCAGAAAATAATCACTCATGTTCCCTGTCCATTCATATGGCCATCGAAAAGTCTATAAGCCTTAAAGCCTGTGCAAGTTTCCACTAACATGAACCATGACATCGATTTGCATGGTTTTTTGTATCCAAGTAGGTCTAAAACATTTTACATAAGGCTACTCCACATATAAGGCTTTCAATACCAGGCAAAAAGCCCTTCTGGGAGAGGAATGACAACAGCTGTAGCCTGATGAAAGGTTTTAGTGTCCTACAATGACAGATATATAATGTGCCTTAAACATTTTGCACACTTAAGTTTACATTAGAGAGGTTTAGCAAAAAAAATAAGGCGTATGACAATGGCTCAAGGAAGTTCTAAATGGCGTAAGAGACCTGATCTTAAATATTAATAAAATTTCAAGGAATTTATTTATTATTTAAATTGAAAACAAAACTTCAGATGTACATAAAGTAATAAACCTTAACAAGAGCTGTTAAGGAAAAGTGGCAATGCAAGTTTACACACATTATGAAGGCAAGGAGAAAGAACAAGAGAACTAAAGCTGGAATGTCGATTGTATTCATACAGCCTCCTCTTGATTTAAACACTCATGACACACTGAATGAACTGAAAGAGAAAAGTCAGTGTTAGTTACACTGAATGCATCCTAGCTTATTTAGGCAGCTTACATTTTCATATTCTAATTTGAATTGTGGGTTTAAAAAAATCCTTTATAAAATAAGAGTGATGTACGGAAAGGTTCATTTTTTGAGGGAAGCAGTCTAACAAAATCCAGTGGGTTTCTCACATGACAGTTTCTTACAGGAAGCAGATCTTACTCCAAAAGGATAGAGTTATTTAAATTCCAAATAATATCTAAGACTCTAGCAATAAGCATGGTCAAAGGTACCTACCCAAACACAAAAAGTTGAGTTTATCTTGTTATATCATGTGGGGACTTCCAAACTGCACAGGATTATCCCATTACCCTAACAGAGCTCCTTTAGTTTATTCTCTTAAAATACACTTAATTAAATTTTAGTATGCAAGTATATGTATTCACAGAAACAAGATATCTATCTGACCCTTATGCAATTCAGAAACCCCAATTTAGAAGCATCAATGTGTGCTCTGAAATGTTTCTTGCTTCGCCACTAAACACATATCAATCACTAGACCGCTTTTTCTATCAATTTTCTTTTTCACTCTTCCAACACCTGTGAGGCACTCACTGTACACTGCAAACCCTTGCAGTACTCCTGCAAGGACACGCTGATTCTCCCACTTCAGGAAACAAGAAACTAAGGGTCGAGATGTTTAGATATGTCTTAAGTGGCTCCATCTCAGACCAAGGCCTGTGCACTTTCCACTCCACAGGCCACCTCCCCATCCTTGGAAACAATGATGGGATTGTCACCTGAGAAGTTGCACATTAAAGAGAACACATATTTAAGCAGAAAAAACAAACCTGACGAGAAGCTTGTCTCAAGTGTACACGTAACTGTGATAGCTGCTATACTGAATGCATGTGCATCTTTGTATTTGGTAATGGAGAAACATTTTAGAATATTCAGTGATTTCAATTCTAAAAGTGGTTTTTTAAATCAATGGCTGAGTGAAAAATGGAAACAACTTTGTTAAGTATATTCAACTAATGCCATCAAAGATGGCACTTAGTTACCTTTACACTGGTTACATGGCCTTATCCTACCTCATTTAGTGTGGCTATTTAGTAAATACATAGTTTTAAATTATGACTTAAGTTTCTGCCTGATGTACATGGATGAGTCAAGTACAACTTTGAGATGTTAAAATTACTTCTCAATGTCTGAAATGATTTGTTTATCAAAGGCAAGAGCAGATACAACATCTGCATGGTATTTTTCAAGGACATTTCTGATAAAAATCTCACAATAGTCCAGTCAAGAAGGCATTACTACTTTCTCTTTCCTCAAACAGTCTCAGAGCAATGCAGAAACCTGCCTACGTGACCCAGCTACTGAGTGGGACAAGCTGGGCTTTCACCCAGGTCTTTTAATGCAAAGCAAACAGTGGTCTATGGATAAGATGAATAACAAATGAAATTAATAAATTTTGAATGGTCACTCTTTCTCATCATTTATGCCTTGAATACTCTCTTGCATCCTGATAATGTTCTTAAGAGCTAACTTTAAAAGAGATGCCCATTTGGTGTACATTTTATTTATCTACTCAGTTTGAATTTATTGTAACTTACATCATCATATGGGAAATTCACAACACCTTGCTGACCAGTATCCCGTCTTCGAAAACTGTCTGTAAAACACCACAGTAAAATTTATGTTTTTTTATACATCTTGTGTGAACTCACAGTAATTATTTTGGCATTGGGTTCAAACTGCAGTAGCATTTAGATTGTACAATCAGCCAACATAACAGATCAAAGAAGCCAACTGTATGAATATGAGATTTAATATACAACAAAGTAATACAATGTGAGGAAGCTGGCCAGTTGTCTTTTTCGGTGTGGAGCTGGAAGAAAACACCTTATCTCAAGTCAGTAAAAGTGGTGCAACTTCCAAGGCCATTACTTAATGGTGATGAAAGCAAGAATTTCAAACTTCTTAATAATATAAATATTAATTAAAGAATATATGGATGAGTCCCTAATAGGAAAAATGGGCTGCAATAAAATATTCTACCCATTGAGCTCTGTCCTATTGAAAAGGATTTACTTTTATTAAAAAAAAAAAAAATCTGCCTTCAAATTTTGTTAGGATGCAAAAAAAATTACAAAACTAGATATTAAAACGAGTAAAAAGAAAAGAAAGGAATGGAATAAGGAAAGATATACAGAAGAAATAGAGGGACTAGAAAAGTGGAAATTACTCATATCACCTCATTTAAGAATTACACCTGAAACAGATGACCACCATTTTAAACCTCCAACAGGAGGAATTAGGAAAGAGAACTATAAATGAAAAATTCCGCTTTTCAAATATTTCGCATTCTAGAGAGAAATTACAGAATATTGCTCATACACTGATCAAAAAATTATGTTTTGGAACATTTAGTTATGTTTTAGAACATTTAGTAGAATTTAGTTAGGATTATTTTAACGGCAGATTACTCACTAATTCTGAAAGAAATTGTGGGGGAAAAAAGGAATAATTCTGCTAAATATGCTCAACAGCAATGTTAAAAAGCCACTGAAATTAGAAAAAAAGACTGGGACAATAAACTTCAGAAGCACTGAGAAATGAAATGTCATAAAAACTGTGGTTTCTTGGCCTATGGAGATGATACTGTCTCAAAGAACTCACCTGTTAGAGCTCGCAGTTTGACGCAACAGGCTATGTAATCATCGAAGGTGATCTTTCCATTGGTGCTGTATCGTTTTGCAATTGAATTGACGGCCTGGGGACTCAACCGAAATCCTGAAAGGAAGAAAAATCATCCAACAACAACAAAATAAATAAATAAAGGGTTACAAAGGACCATTAAAATAATCAAGCACAATTTTTTAAGACAGAATACTCATTTTAATTATGAGCACACACTTTTAGAAGATAGGAACTGCCTTCGTGTAGCATTTAGTTTTAGAAATGAAAAGTTACTTCTACCAATGAACAGTTAACCATACCCACCCATTGTCGTCAGGGCCTTCTGAAGTTCTTGAGGATCCACTGTTCCACTCCTGTCGCTGTCAAAGCTGATGAAGTGCTGTCTCCAGCCATTCAGTACAGACCAGAGTTCTTTAAATTCACTGAAACCCATTGTGCCTGACATATCTCTCTGAATATAATTAAGGATTAGAGCTTTTTCTTTAGGAAGCGGGGGTGGTGAGGGAAGAAGGTAACATTTTCTAATGATTAAATATCAGGGATAAGAAAATTTAATGTTCTTTCTGCTTAAAAGGTTAAAAATGTTATACGTTCTTCTTGGTATGATATAGTAAAAAGACAGTCTAGTGATGTGATAAAAAGGGCCTATGAAGAAAAAGCTCTGAGTATATATTTTCTTCGTGGAGAAAAAGATAATCTGTGATATGATTACAAGGAACTAAGATGGCCACTGTGAGCCATATGTGAAATGCAGTCTTGTTACTGGACCTGGGCTGCACTTTCTGGGTGTCCCAGGCTATGCGGCTTACGCTTCTGTCTTGGGTCCTCTTTGGCCCTAATGCTCCCTTGGTAAGCCCGCCCAGGCCCCGTAGGTCAGTACTAACTATACTGAGTCCAATAACTGTGCTGTGAAAAATTCTACTGCTTGACGGTCAGGTGTGAGTCATGCTGAACAATCACTATTAAAGCAAAACAGCTTTCCTGATGACTCAGATTTCTATACTGTTCTCCTTTCCTTAAATTCTCAAATAACCAAGCTTTCTTCCTTTCTTCTAAGCTTTCTTACTTTTTCACACCAAATTCTATCTTTAAAGCTAACGATTTCAGAAAACTCCTTTGTGGTCATTTGTGTCACTCTGTGTTTACTGGGTATTCTTAAATGAATTCCTTTAGGAAGAATTTTTTGTCAAAAAATACTCTAGACAGCAATCAAGGATACATCCAGCATTGAAACCATAAGCCGACAAGTCTCCAGGTTAAAAGCTGTTAATTCAAGAAAAGTACACAAAATATTAATACAATTTCGAAAATTCATTACATTAGCTAATTCTAATTAATTAGCAATGTGATTACTTATATACTTGTTTTTAAATGCTACACAATTTTTGTGGAACTAAATTTTATGGAGCTTTGAAGTATATTTTTTTCCAGAAAGGATTTCTTCTAGAACCCAAATTTGATTTTAACAACTTTATAGAAATCTTTTAAAAAGTACTGCATAATACCTTTTAATATTTTTAGATGTGATCATGGTTTTGAAGTTAGAGAAAAAAGTGTCCTTATCTTTCCGAGAAGTATACACTGAAGTTATTTGTAGGTATAATAAATGATAAGGTATCTGGAATTTTCTCCAAAAGAAAACGGCAGGGTTATTATAGACGAAACAAGAATGGTAATATATTGATAACTGTTGAAGTAGAATGAGGAGTATAGAGAAGTTCATTGTATAATTATCTCTATCCTTGGATAGGCTTAAAGTTTTCTATATAGTCTTTTAAAAATATTACATAATTCTGCCTATGAAACTGTAATATAGTGAGTCCAGTTCACCATAATGAACGACAATGTATTATATCCACCATGGTGAGTAGAAAGGTAGGGGTACTTTGTTAATAACTGACTATAAATAGCTGGTTTGCTAGTTCTTTGTCTAATCTTTTTGTTGTTGTTGTTCTTTCTCCTTTGTCAGGCACTGAATAGTACCACCTACCTCAAATAGCCTATGACCTCTTTTCATATACAGTAAGCTTATATATGAAATCGGATAAAGACATTCGCTAGAATTGTGTTAAGAGAGCTCCCTGGAGTAAGACCCAATGAACAACTCAGTGATGGACACTGTTCAAGAGCCCTTTCAATTTACTTATAGTTTGAAGGTGTTAGGAGGGCATTTCCATACTTAGACAACCAACAGAATACACTTATTGGCTAACAGCCTACTGGCAAATTAATAAGAATTCCTTGCATCTTACATTATGTTAATGGGAATAAGTAACTTTGAGGAGATATTATAGAAGTACAAAGAAACTGAGGCTACAAGGCAGAAGCAACAAGTGTAATGTGGGCAAAACAGTGTAAATTCTGCAAGCTTATAAAGATGCACACAGAACTGATATTTTCTATAGCTCTTACTAGATTCATTTTTATCTCGAACCAAACTGAATTTAAAACACAATGGAGTTAACTGTTATTACTTAATGTCTCCAAACAGCATAAACTACAGGTTTTCCACTTTTAACAGATTCCTGTGTTTGGCATATCCTGGAACCTGAAATAAAAGCTTAGAGATTATTTCTATTTTGGTTCTTCAATCTCCATCTGATCCACAATAAAAATCTCTGAGGTGAGAGGACGCAACACTTTCCAACCCTTTTGAGAAAGTGTTGGTCAACTTTTTATTCTGACTTTTAAGCTGTATAGAGGTATGATGTCACTCTAGTCTAGACCAGCAGTTCTCAATCTTGGGTGCTTATGAGAAGCACCCCAAAGCTTCAAAAGATCCTGATACCTGGGATGCACTACACAACAACTATTATTATTTTTTCCAGCTTTATTGAGAAAGAATTGACATACAACATTATGTAAGTGTAAGGTGTACAAGGTAATGATTTGTGTATATATTGCAAAATGATTACAATAATATAGTTAACATACCCATCATCTCACAGTTACTTTTTTGTGTGTGTGAGAGCTCTTAAGATTTACTCTTAGCAACTTTCAACTATACAATAAGTATTGTTAAAAATAGTCACCATCACCAAAGAACAATTAAATTGGAACCTCCGAGCATGGGATCCAGAAATCAGTATGTTTTTAAGGCTTCTCAGATGATTCTAGTGGGCAGCCAAGGGTAAGATCACTGTTCTACACAAAGTGTGAGTCCTGGACCAACCATGTTACTATCACTGGGGAACTGGTTAGAACTGCAGATCCCAGTCCTTACTCCACACCAACAAAATGAGAATGTACATTTTAACAAGATCCCCAGGAGATATATATTTATATTAAAGCGGCTTGTATAATCTAGACCAGCATCATCAGGAAACGTGTTCAAGAACAAATTCTTAGGTCTTACCCCAGACCTCCTGAATGAGAAATTCTAGTTGCAGGGCCCAGCAATCTGGTTTCAGCGAGCCTTCCAGGTGATGCTGAGGCTGCTAAAGTTTAAGAGCCACTGCTCTAGAGGGCCTGACAACCACATGCAGCCAATTGACAACCAGGATGCAGCCAATTATGTTTGGCTTATCAAGGTTTTTGAGGGGCTGTGTGGCAGACAGCTTCCCTGTCTCCTAGGTTCTATGAATGGCACCACCATCCACTTAGTCACCTGAGCCAGGAATCTGGCGGCATCAATTCCCTCTCCCCTGGTATTCAACCACCGTCTAGACAGCTTTGGGATCCATACACTTGCAGTCCCACTGTCACTTCCCTGGCATTTCTCAGCTGTACGACTCCAATGGCCACCTAACAGGTATCCCTGACTCCCTATGTCCCCCACACTCGTGTCCCCCAATTTGGTCTTTATCCTACAGCTAGGGTAGTATATGGTCCTCCATATAAAACCCAGCAGCGGTGTTCCATTGCTCTCAGGATAAAGCCCGAACACCTTAATTGGCACATAAGGTCACACATACATTTTCTAAGTTCAGCTAGTTTTCTACTCTTCATTCAACCCCCATATGCTATCTTTACGAGAATTTCTCAGTTCCTGGACTGAATCATGCTCCCTCTCATCTCTGGGTCTTTTGTACATGCCTGGAACTTTGCCTGTTTCAGCTTCCTCACCTCTGTCTGGGTTATGTGCCCCTCCTAGGTGATCCCACAGCCTCTATTCTTCACTTAGCCTAGTGCTTTCACAATGTCTTACGGGCACTGTTTGTGGTGGCACATCGTACCTAGCATATGGTGGGTGTCCATTAAAAACGTGTTGGGTCTACCGCCATGCCACCCTGAACGTGCTTGATCTTGTCTGATCTCAGAAGCTAAGCAGGGTTGGGCTGGGTTAGTACTTGGATGGGAGACCACTACAGAATACCAGGTGCTACAGGTGTTAAAAAAAAAAATGTGTTGGTTGGACAAGTGAGTGAAGAGATGAGACTGCATTCTCTCATCCCTCTGCAGAAAGCTGTGTACTCCTCTCAAAGTCTAAAGAGGATACGTTTTTTAAATAAAATCTGATTTTAACTGATACGTACAAGTAATGTATAATCTCTTATCAAATATCAATCTTATGTCAAAACACCAATAAGAATATAAGACTAAGATTTGTCCATTTTAGAAAATCTTCCATATCCATTTACTCAACAAATGCCTATTACGTACTTATTATGTGCAAGGATCCAGATACCAAAAACACTGGAAATAACAAATGTGAAACTGGGTCCCGCCCTCAGTGACAGTCTAGGGGAAAGGTAAGTCATATGCACATACAACTCTAGTCAAGGGAGAGAGCAGTAAACTATAATAGAGGCACTGAAAGTACTAGGAGGGATTAAGGAGTTAGAGGCTCCTTTCTAGAAAGGAGAAAGAAAAAGACTTCATAGAAATAGCCTTTAAGCCCAGCCTTGAATGACAGAAAGATGAGGGACATTTGGTGAGAGCCAAACAGAGATAGGGACCAGCTTAAGCAGAGAAACAGGAAAGTCCAGGGCAGGCAGAGGAAGTGGGAGAAAATACCTTTTAATGAGGCTACATTATAGAGGATCTTAAATTCCCACTAAGCTATTTAGCTTTTGTTTTGTAGGCAGCAAGGAACTACTCAGATTTTTTAGAGGACAGTGACAGGTTTGAACTGTGTGTCAGAAAGAACAGAAATCTGGTCTTTTTTTTGTGAGAATTTAAAAGGGAGAGAATGAAACTGGCAGTGAACAAAAAGCAAATTCACCATTCCAGACAGTTCTACAGAACTAGAATGCTCAAGTCTAATAAGTGTGGGTAAGGAAATACTTGCTTAATTTTACTTGTATTTTCCCCCCAGAAACGGCTTGATGCTAATTCTATTTTAAATAATTTCAAAATAATCTTTGCTACAATTTTACTTTCTTTTGTTCATTTTACTAGAATGCCTCAAACATCTTTTATTGTAGTAGAAATCCACAATGTAACAGACCTAGAGAAAAGCCCTACCTCCAGTTGTTTCTCTCAACTGTGCCACAGAGAAACAACTACACTGAAGGAAAAGAGAGCTGAGTTACTGTCACAGACTAGAGCAACTGCCCTCATCCACTCCACCTCTAGGTATGAGTTTCTTTTTAAACTGGTTAAGAAGATGCCTGTATGTACTGGGCTGGAGTATCTACCCTTGACCCTTATCTGTGCTATTTTGGTTTGAAAGCTCGGTTTAAAAGACCTGCTAACGTATAATTTCTGTATTATAAAACTCACTCTGATATCTCTCAAAAATGTTGCTTTTGTGGTTCATTACAGCCTCCACCACCAGACAGCAAGCAAATTAATTCAATTACATGGTCCTGATGAGTCAGGAAATGTCTTCTCTGGCTCAATGATCTAAGGCCGTCGCTAAGTGTGGCTTTCTTAAAAGAAATTTAAAAGGACTGCTCTCGAAGGATGTAGAACCCATTTTGTTAGCCAGATTTTAAAACCTACCACCTCTTGTA